CGATCTTGAATAATTCATCGGAAACGCACGCTCCGTTAGGCGCCCATGAGACCAGCCACCCTCCATCTTCTATTACACCCGCGCCCGATCTGCGATTTCTGCTCCTTCGATTCTAAGGAGGGTTTTCTCTATATTCTCAGTGTGGTAATATCTTTGGCGTAGCATTAAAAAGGGAGTTGAAAAATTCTCGATACGAAATTTTCTATACTAATCACAAATTCAATGTTCCCTTTTATATATTCTTCCACGAAATATCATTTTCGATAAATCCAAATAATATAAAAAGAAAAGCGCAATTTGTGTTTGTTTTTTTAGAAAAGAAATTCTTAGAAAGAACACATTTTGAAAAATTGTAAATCAAGTTGAGTTTTTATAGAATGTAATCGCATTTTAATTATGATTTGGGTGGTCGTGAGTTGTGGCACGCTTAACAACATTCCACATTGACATTGTGATGGAAGAAATCGTGGAGGACGACTGGTTTGCAAGTACCAATCCCGAAGAATTATATACCAACCACGAGAGAGAGAACGAGTATTACCACAAGTCATGGCTTCCTCTTGGATATGTTGAAATCTAGTTTTTTTTTCTATTCAAAATGAAATATTTTCAAATTATTCACATGAGAAATTTTTTTCAGATTGAAAATATTAATTATTCTCAAATAATATATAGATAACTTAAAAATTAATAGAATTGAGGAATTTTTTTATTATTTTTACTATAAAATTGTGAATTAATTTCTCGCACGGTTGCTAGGATACAGAACAGAACAATTTGAGAAGCCTTCTGATATATAGTATAATTGACTCACAGGTCTCCTATACGTCTTCTTATGTATACCATTGCCATTTCCTTTTCAAAGCTTTCGCTTCTGTTGCAGAATTTTTTTTTTCCCCCCAACACCTATATTGAAACAATAAAATAGAAACCCAGGTTTATTTTTTTATTCCTTAGGATATAAAAAAAACATTTCAATTTTTATATTTTTAATTAAAAATTCCCGTCAATCGATTTTGTGATTAATTTCCATAATTTGAAGATACTTTTTTTTTAAATTCTAATTTTTCTAATTCCTCTTAAGAATGCAAAAATTCCCAATAATAAAGAAATTCGATGAATGAACATCTCGAATTTTAGGATTTTTATCGCACAAATAAAATAAACACATTTGGACAAAACGGATGTCATATTAACTTTCAGTAAAAATATTTTTCAATTGCGGAAATTGAAAAAAGACCAATGAACTAGCGCCTGTTACGTGCCGGTATTAACGCCCGAGGCAATCCGTCGGTTCATCGTTCTGATGAATGTCAGATTACGCATACGCAGTATCCGCATCATGTTCTTATTTTCTTGAATTATTTACTTTTCTTTTTCAATAACTGGTTCAATATTAATGTTCGTAATAAAACTACACACTGTCAAAAGAAGATCATAACCAATTTTTAATAATAAAACTCAATTTCTCTTCGATTTGAAAAATTCAAAATTTTTCTAATGAAAATACACTTAATATACTTTTTCGTGGTGCATTATTATCCCATAAAAATCATTAGTTACAATTTTTATTCTAAAAAATTATAATAAAATTATTTTTTTTACGAAGTTTCATTTAACAGGAATTAATTTTTGAAACGAATTTTTAGGTAATTTTTGTTTGACAGAATTCTTAAAACTTTATTTGTCCGAAATTACAAACGATCAAACAGACAATACACCGATAGATTTTGGCGCGACTTTTAAAATTCATCAATCAGAAATTGTCAAGAAAATTGTGAATTACAGAAATCATGCCAAAATTTTTCAACCGATTGTTTGTTCTACTATTTGTAATTTTGGACAAATAAAAATTCAGCGTTTTAAGAATTGCGTACAATAAAAATTCGATACATAAAAATTCTGTTTAATAAAAATTCGGCATTTGCAATTATGGACAAAAAAGTTCGGCTTTTTGTGAATTCCGTACAATAAAAATTCTGTTAAGTAAAAATTCGTTTAAAAAGAAATTCTGTCTAATGCGCTAATTTGAAAAATAAAGTTTCATCAAAAAAATAATTTCGAATTCTTAAAACACCGAAATTTTATTTGTCCGAAATTCTGTTGTTTGTTTGTTAATTTTTTTTGAGAAAAAATTCGTTTTAAAAGAAATTCTGTCAAATGCTAATTCGAAAAGTGGAAATTCGTCTTAAAAATAATTTTGAAATTTTGTTTGTTCGAAATTAAACCAACAATCAACAGAAAGATTTCGGCGTTATTTTTAAAATTTGCTAATCATGATTTTCTTGATAATTTTTGATTGGTCAATTTTCGAAAATTGCGCAGAAATCTGCCAGCCAAATAAAAATTATCCAAAAAAAATTCTGTTAAGTAAAAATTCGTTTCATAAGAAATTCAATGACTAATGACCAATGACTAATTCGAAAAATGAAAATTCGTCTAAAACATAATTATTTCTAATAAAATTCTACAAATTGAAAATTCTAATTAATAATTTTTTGTGGAATAATTTGCCTCTAATGACTATTATTATTTTAACAAATTAATAAAAAACGAAAAATAATTTTTTTTTTCCAATTGAATGTAATACGAATTACATTATAAAGTAGACATTATCTTGTAATTTTCATTTGTACTAAGAGACACCTATACAAGGAAAAGTTGGAAATAGTGTAAGGTGAACAGAAGGGGATTCGGGGGGATGGTAAAAGGGAACCACTTAGCCGAAAACTGTAAGAGTCTAGAAGTCAGCAGCTATTCGGCAGACGCCACTGGCGCCAGCGGACTACCTTAACCCCATCCCACGGGAATCTCATTCCCCAAAAGCGTCGCAAGAATTATAAAGTTGCTGGAGGAGAGCTCCGGTCTTGTTCCCTCTCTCCCTTCTCAAGAAATTTCCTCCACCCTTTCACCTTTCGTTCACCACCCTTTCTCCCTCTTTTTTTTTTCCTTTTCTTTTATACTTTTCCTCCATCTTTCTTCTCGCTCTAAGAGTTTCAGAGTAAAAGAGACACACACATACACGAGAAACCACAGCCAGTCCATCTTTCAAGATCCTTGATCATTTTCGTTTCTTCCTTGTCTTTTCTTCCCTTTTTCGTTTTTCACCCCCTTTCCAAATCTTCTTTTATCCAATCGAGTTTTGCTTTTGGAAAACTGTCGGAACTAGGTGGATGCTGTCTCTCTTTCTCTGTATAATGTCTATAACTTTCGAGATGCCACGTTAACCCATCGCCACCAAAACCCACATGTCGATCGATACATATATGTATATATATATATACTTTGAAACATGAATGTATAACGCTCGAGATAACTTGAGTAACCAACGAGAGAAAGATATTGGTCCTGGTAGACGATCTAAATCTCGTGAAGACTTTTCGGCGTTCTTATTCCTCTATTTTCTTTTTCTCATTCTTGATTCTAACTTAATAAATTTGGATTAAGGTAAAACGTCCAGTTATAGTTCTGGCTCCTTGCTTTTAAAATTTTGTCTATAAAGTTTCACAAAGTCTGCGCGATGCAAGTTAAAAGCAATTATTATTCATTTAAAATAAAGTCTTGAAAGCATTTCCCCCTTTTCACCAAGGCAATAAAATTAACCCTTTGCCCATAATGCACTGGCATGATAAACTATCACTATTCACTAAATACTGATTAAGTTCGAATTTTCAGTTGAACGAAATTTTGAAAACCGAATAAATATTTCGGGTACATGTTTAGATCATATAAAAATCATTAGTTGGGATTTTTATTTTAAGGAATTTTATTAAAGAATTTTATTTAAAAATTTTTTTTAGGTAAAATTATAATTTAGACGAAATTTTATTTTTTCAATTAGCATTTATAATAGAAATACTTTTGAAACGAATTTTTACCAATTAGAAATTGTCAAAGAAATCATGATTGGTGAATTTTAAAAATTGCGCCAAATTCTTTCTGTCGATTGTTGGTTCAATCATTTTCAATTTCGAACTAACAAAATTTTGAGCGTATTAAGAATTAGAAATTACTTTTTAAGACGAATTTTTAGTTTTCGAATTATCATTTGACAGAATTTCATTTTTAAACAAATTTTTATGTATCGAATTTTTATTTGTCCGAAATGGCAAATGTCATACAAAACAATTAACAGAATGATTTTGACGCAATTTTTAAAATTTATCAATCACAATATTTGTTAACAATTTCTGATTGGTCTTTTTTAAAAGTCGCCGCGAATTCATTTGATCGATTGTTTGTCCAACCGTTTGCAATTTCGGACAAATAAAATTTCGGTGTTTTAAGAATTCGAAATTATTTTTTAGACAAATTTTTATTTTTCGAATTAGCATTTGATAGAATTTCCTTTTTAAACGATTTCTTATTAAACAGAATTTTTATTTAATAGAACTTTTATGTATTGAATTTTTATTGTACGGAATTCTTAAAACGCTGAATTTTTATTTATCCGAAATTACAAATAGTCGAACAAACAATCGATAGGAAGATTTTGTCGCGCTAAAATTTTTCGGTCGATTGTATGTCCAATCATTTGTAATTTCGGACAAATAAAATTTCGCCGTTTTAAGTATTCTACCAAACAAAAATTACCTAAAAATTCTGTTAAATAAAAATTTAAAAAGAAATTCTGCCAAATCCTAATCGAAAAATGACAAATCGTCTAAAAAAATAATAATTATATCTAATAAAATTCTGTAAAATGAAAATTCTAGCTAATAATTTTTTATGCGATAATCATGCGCCTCAAATATTTGATCCGATTTTCGCTTGATCGTAATTTTAAAACCGAATTGAACCAAGTTTAAAAAAAAAAGTTGGATTTTTTCCTTTTCGAGAAAAAAGAAATTGATCTGATTTTTGAAAAAATAAATTTTCTCTTCGCCCAGAAGAAAGAAATAAGTAATCGGCAAGTATATAATTCTGTTACAGTTGTATAACAAGACGCCTGGAGGGACTTTGGCTAAATTATCCATAATAATAATAATTTATTCACTTACCATGAAGGTGAGCCTGAGTCGTGTTGTGCAAAATATCACGATCATAGGGCGATGGAGGCGTCGAGGGTAGAGGAAACCACTGCTAGTGAACCCAAGAAGGCGGCGCGGCAGGAGTCGCTGCATTGGTACTGGCATAAACCCCAGCTGAACTGGCATTACTTGTAACGGTAGATACATTACCACTTGGTGACGTTACATTTGGAATAACATCATCATCGCCCACTTGACCCGTAGGAGCGCCAAGCATACCCTGCTGAAAGTTAAAGTCCAACGTTCCGTCCATTGACAATTCGTGCTTTATCACCTAAGAACAAGAATTAAATTAGTATTTTTATTTATTTTCAAATTGCAGGTAAAAAAAAACAAGTACCTCATCAACATTGCAGTCGAAACCTTGTAACGTTTCAATGTTGATATTGAGATCATCGAGGAGTGCCGAATTATTTAATGCTCCCATTATTTGACCCATTATTGTGCTAGGTTTAGGTGATTCTGGTGGACTTGGACCACCGGGACCGGATTGTGCATGCGTCTGCTGTTGCTGCTGCTGCTGTTGTTGCTGTTGCTGTTGTTGTTGCTGCTGCTGCTGACGCTGCTGTGACTGAAGAAGAAACTGAATTGTTTGCTGCTGCTGTGAGCTAAGTGTCGAAGGACTAGGTTCACTCTGCTGCTGATATGAAGGTGACATACCAGACACAGGACTCAGATTCTAAAAGACAAAATAAAAAATAGAAGCATACAAAAAAAGAGGATAATTGTCCTACTGACCATTTGGCAGGCACAGGGTTGTAAACGATGAATTGGACATCTTTGTTGATTCGTTGGTTGTGATGTGGGTGGTAGACCATAGGGTGTACTATTTGTTCGAAGCGAATTACTTCTCTGGTATTGAGCCTCGAAATAAGAGGGTGGCGGTGCTGTTTGCTGTTGATGTGGCGGTGACGTTTGATACATCTGATAGGATTCGATTTTCATCGTCTCTGCTAAACTTCCAGCTGTTGAAATCAACAATCAGAATGCAATTCCCAAAATCTCTTTTATCAAATCAAAAAAAAAGCATACCTAATTGTTCTGGACTGTACGAATAACTCGGTGGCCAATCTGATTCACTAATTGCAGCAGGTATTGGACTCAATCTTCCACAAGAGGATGCGTTGCTTGAAGCTCGTGGTCTTTTAAGAAAATTATATATATTTTTAGATAATATTGGGCCAATTCAATAAAATAAAATTATAAAACAAAGAGATATGAGAGAATTTTGAAAATGTAAAATTTAAAACAAACACAAATTTCAATTCTTCATGCAGATGATTATTTATGGGGATGATCTTCAAGTGATAAAATCGAAAAGCGATGAAGGAAAGCACAATTTTCGAAGAAGTTGGAACGCGTACCGGAAGTCTGGTGATAGTTGAAAGCCGCTCGCTGGATGAAGGGGACTGTCTGGAAATAGATCCAAGCCCTCGCTGACGCTGCTACTTGGACTGGGGGTTGCGTCCGCTTGCAAACTTCCGTTCCTCAACGCTTCAACCTTCTTCTTTACTCGACCTCGTCTCTTTTCGAACTTGCTCGTCTCCATTGACGTTGCTCTAAACGACAATCGAAATCATTGTCACTTACCTACTTCAACTTTTCTTTCAAAGTATTTTCTCCTTCTCACATTTTCAAGCGTCTGCTTCAAGATTCAAGAAATTTCATTTAAGTGTACAAAATTCTTCTCAATTGTCAAAAGTTTAAAAGTCTTAAACTATTAGTTTCAATAAATTATTCTTTATCTTCTTTTCTAAAATAAATTTCTTTTAAATAATTATTTATTTCTTGGACCTTGTTTCAAAAAAAAATTTTAATTTTTCATACCTCCTTCTTGCGGATTTTCCAGGTTTTGCATCGGGATTAATCATCCACCAGGAACTTTTTCCAGTGCCTTCATTTTGTACTCTCATAAATCGATTGTGCAGTGAAAGATTGTGTCTTATTGAATTCTGAAACAGAAGGAAAAAAAAAAAAAAATTACAAATTGGAACAATTTATTATTCACAATTGGGAATGATACACTACATATATGACTGATAGTAGTCACGTTTCACATAAAATTTCTAACTTCATCAACGGTGCCATGACCCTGGTGGACGAATTTAAATGTCTGAAATTGGTCCCCGAGTCCAATTACATATATTATGCAGCTTAAAAGCCCTCTGACGTAATGCGACCGAGAACTGCAATTGAAAATCAACTGACGTATTTTAAGTCGCTCATTCGAAGGGACCTTTAGTTATGGTCTGATTAATTTCAATTTAAATTCAATAAAATTAATGGTACATAAATTTTAAGAAATTTAATCGTTTAAAAAATATATATTTTCTAAATCAGATTGAAAAAACAAATTTTTAGTTTTATTGAAATTTAATTTTTAGCCTAAAACAATGATAAAGATTCATTCATGACGAATCGATGTTGCATCTACTTTAAGAAGAATTATCAATGTACACCTTGTTCTTGGCAGACTTTGCAACGTAATTGAATTTAGCGATTGGACAAGATCCAAAATTCTCAACTACAAATTTCCGCTATTAATCCTTGCCTCCATCATCACCTTTAACCTTGTAGCAACTCTTGAAAAATGCTCTCTCTCTCTCTCAAAAAAAAACAATCTTGAAAATTTATTTGACAATTTTTTGGAATGAAAAATTATTTTTATTTTCATAAAATATAAAAAAGAATGAATTTTTCTTGCCTTAAAACATATTAGAGAAGAAGTCGTAACATCTACATGTATATACAGTAACGATTCTTTGCTATATGGTACAAGTTTACAACCCCATCGTGTCCGCGCCTTTATCGGCGAAATGGTATGAAGATATTTTTGGCGCCGACGTTTGGGACTTTAGGTTGAAGAAAACCATCCTCGATTTCCCACGCCTTTTTGAAATTCATCGGGACATAAAAAGAAGTGGGTCGAAGAATATAAAAAAAAAGGATTGAATCGAAACACTTCCTGTTTCCGAAATCGTAATTGCAAAATCTTTTCAAAATACAAAAATTAACAATTTTACGGATTATAAAATTCGTTTTTGAAATTTTTTTTTTTTTTTTAATGAAGTTTTCTAGATTTATAAACAGGTGTGACGACTTATTAGCGAGTTTTATTTGATGCGATAAAGAAGAGTTCAAAGGAGAAAAAAAAAAATTGAAAAATGAAGAAGGATAAATGTTAAAAGTGTTCAAGTAAACTTTTACTTTGATTGAGAATGAGGGGGTAGGAACTGTAGATAAAACTTGAAACGAGACTGACTTTATTACTGCTCGGGAAATAGTATATATATATACATTTTTCCATAACCATGAAAGCTCTTTTCTATATACACATTACTCGTCCATAACTAAAGTGTATATCGTCACTGTTTGGATTTTTAGAACTCGGAACCATAACTACTTGAGACGATTTCATCGACTGATTCTTCTTGTCTCTTTCTAACCTCATCTTTTATTTCTTCAATTTAAAATTTTTTAATTTAATTTAATTTTTTTATTTTAATTTATTATTTTTTTTAATTTTTATTTAATTCTAATTTCTTTATTGATTAACAGAAAACTTGAAGAATTATTTTTAAAAAAATTTCATAACATAAAAAAAGCTAGAAAAATAATTTTTGAGATTCGGAACATTAAGCTTATTTTTCGCATTATAAAAATGTATCTCAGAATTTTTCCCAATGATGATAAAAAAGTAGGTACATTTAAACTTTTATTACTTTAAAATTGAATATAAATTATTTCGTTAATGGTTTTGTTAAAAGAGTTGTAAAAATAAATATTAATATCTGAAGTATATACATCAAAAGAACTTTGCTACATGAAAATGTAGGTCAATTATATTGATAACAAATAATATATTGGTTTTCAAAATTAAGTAAATTTGTATAAATATTTCTTCCTTGTGGCAAAAAAAATGAAGTTACTTCATAATAATAAATTAATGATTTCCGCTTCTTTCGCAACATGTATATCAAATAATCTAAGAATTTCAAGGATCTTTGAAGATCTAACATTCACATTTACATTTTTCTAAATGTGACAACTATAAACATTTTATCATCTATTATTGATTTATTTCTGAAAACGGGAATCAATCGAAGTCCAATCCTTTAGTAATAAATCAGAAAAGAAGAAAGAGAGAGAGAGAGGTACAAACTTTGTCATATAGAGGGAAATACACCATTGCAGCTGGTAAGGAAATGCTGGCCACGATTTGAATATTGAATGAATCGTCGTTGTCCGATTCGCACACGATTCATTGAATCTTTAACATGCTGGCAACGACCAATAAGAACTTCTTTTATAAAACCGCCAACTCTAAAATAGAACCTTTAAAAAACCAAACTTCTTCTTTCAATAAAGCTTTTTTTTTTATATATTTCTACATTTTTTTTTCAATTCTAAAAAATTCTATTTTTGAAAAAAATTACATGATAAGCCAAACCGCAATCATTGTTTCCTAAACCAAAACGAATATGATTCACAAAAAAAGGATGCGGTTCACCGTAACGAGAAAAAAAAATCTCCAATAAGACCTCCGCTTCCTTCCTTAATTTTCGATTTTATTTTCAAAATTATCGTTTAGATTATTTAATTAATTATTTAAAAGAAAAACTTTTCTTTAAAAATGAATAATTTGAGAAAAATGCCTTTTGAATTTTTGATGATTATCCCATAAAAATCATTGGTTAAAATTTTAATTTTAAAAAATTTTATTAGATAAATTTTTTTAGAAGAATTTTTATTTTTCAAATTAACATTTGACAGAATTTTTTTTTTTAAACAAATTTTTACTTAACAGAATTTTTTTTAGATAATTTTTATATGTCTGAATTCTTAAAACGTGGAAATTTTATTTGTCCGAAATTGCAAATAGCCCCAAAAAACAATCGCCAGAAAAATTTCAGCTCGATGTTTAAAATTCACCAATTGAAAACTTATAGAGAAAATTTGTGATTGGTGCGGATTTTAAAAATCGCGCCAAATTCTTTCTGTCGATTGTTCGGCAATTTGAAATTTCGGTTAAATTAAAAATTCGTCGTTTTAAATATTCTACTAAATAAAAATTCAGTCCAAAAATTCTTTTAATTAAAAATTCTTTAAAAAAATGAAATTCTGACAAATTTTAATTCGAAAAATAAAAAAATTTGTCTAAAAAATAATTATATCTAATAAAATTGTTGAAAATTCTAACTAATAATTTTTATGGAATAATCATGTGTCTCTAAAAAAAAAAAAAATCTATTAATATTAAAATCTATTTATATAAAATTATTATAAACAAATCGATAAATTTAAAAAATAAGGGGTTTTTTTTTATAAAGTATATAATTGAAGTTGATTATTGATTTTAAAAGTGAATGCAAGGTGTTTGTGGAATGGTAGGAATGCATAGAATTGTATATTATAGCAGGTTGTTCCGGGTAACTAGTGCGTAAAGAATAAGTGGTTAGTATTACTCATGATTGAGTGATAATGGTGGAATATTGAACCATTCACAGATTCCAAGTAGACGTGTTACTACATGTGTATTCTAATATCGACTGGTTGTATCTAATTCTCCAAGCAACTGCATTCCACGTGTCAAGGTAACTTACTCATTCATCGGTTTATATATACGGAAAGAAACAATTCTTAGATAATTATAATAATCTTATTCAACGAAAATGCAAACCGATCTAAAACTCTTTTTATTATAAAGCTATTTTTATAATAGTTAATATTTTTTTTTTAATATTTACATATTTTATTATTTTCATATTTTCATATTTTCATATTTTATTATTTTACTATTTTACTATTTTACTATTTTAATATTTTTAATTTTAATTCTTTTAATATTTTTATATTACTTCCTCATGGAGGAAGTATTTTTAATATTTTTTCCCTCTTTTCAATTGATAACAATTCATACTAAAACAATATATATATATACAAAAAAATTTATTTGATTCAAATAATCGGTTACTTGATTATTATGAAATAAATATTTGTTTGTATCAAATAATTATTATATTTGAATCGATTAAATTTTTCTTGTTTCAAATACAGAAATTATTGGTTTAAATACAGTTCATTTGAGACAATTCAACATTATTTGATTCAAGAAAATATTTATTTGATAATATTCAACACCCAGAGAAATGTTTTATTTAAACCAAATATAATAAATTTTTTAATTGAATAAACATATATTTGTCCCAGAGCCTACTAGCTCATATTTATTTAAATCAAGTAAAATTTATTGGCAACAAATAAATGTTTATTTGGCTGTGAAAAAAATATCTTTTTTCTTTGTAAAGTAATCAAGTATTTGAATGAATTAAATTTTTTTTTCAGATTTCAATAACGTAAACTAAATAATTTTTAATCCCTAGGAAAAAAAGTAAAATAAACGTAATTTTTCCCTAATGCAAAAACAATTTATATTTAATGCATAAAAGTAATCAGTCTTTCAATTAGAGAAACAAAATAGCTCATAATAAAAAAAAAAAAGAAGCGAAGACAATTGGATAATTTGAGGACAGTCTTATATACAAATCGACGTGACTTTTGCATAATTCAAATATCCCAGTGTATCCTTTTTCCAAGTCACATGAACCATGTCAAATAATCAATATAAAAAAGTGAAACTTTAAAAATAGCACGAGACAATGTTTCATACTTTTTTTAAGAAAAAACATTACTTCAAATTTTAATTTGTAAAAATTGTGAAAAAAAAATGTTTTTTAAAAATATTTTTACATAGAGAATTTTTGAAAGTATTTTATTAAAAAAAGAATAAATATTTCATTTATATGTGATAAGAATTAAAAGATCTTGTATATATATATATCTTATCGAATAATTAATAAAATCTCTCACAATCCAAAACACTAATGACTTGAAATAAGTGTATAATCAATAAATCAATAAAATGATAGTTCTCATTTATATATAAATATAG